TTTAGACTGGATATTGGGAAAAATTTCTTCAACAAAATGGTGATCAGGCATCGGAACAGGCTGCCCAGGGTGTTGGTGGAATCACGGTCCCTGGAAGTGTTCACAGTGTTGAAAAGATCCTTAGTGACATGGTTTAGTGGTGGACTTCTCAGTGCTGTGGTAAAGGTTGGACGTGATGATCTTAAAGGTCTTTTTCAACCTGGTTGATTTTATGATTCTATGTTGGGTTTGTTCAGTTTGGAGAAGATTCTGGGGAGAGATTTTTGTGGTCTTTCAGTTCTTAAAAGTGGTCTTTAAGAAAGATGAGGAGAGACCTTTTAGCAGGGCCTGTAAGTGATAGGACGAGGGATGATGGTTTTAAACTACAAGAGGGGAGATTCAGGCTGGATGTGAATTAAAAACTCTTTACTATAAGGATGGTGAAACACTGGCACAGGTTGCCCAGAGAGGTGGTGGATGCATCATCCCTGGAGACATTTAAGGCCAGGCTGGATGTTCTGGGCAACCTGCTGTAGTTGAAGATGTCCCCGCTCATTGCACGGGGGTTAGACTAGATGAGCTTTGAGGGTCCCTTGTAACTCAAACTATTCTGTGATTCTATGATTCTATGTACTACAACCAAAAGGATTTTGGAGCAACAGGCCATGCTGGACCTTGAGGGTCAACAAGCCCAGGAGCATTACGTGTTCCCACCTGAGGGATTTGGATCCTCGCATCTAGGTGGTTTATGGGTGTCCATCACAGACAGTAATGAACCAAAGAGTCTGTAGGATGTGCATGCATCCAGCTGAGGTGACCAAGGATCCTACCAGCTGAAGGACATTAGGTACCTGAGCCGAAGGGTGACCCACAAGTCCACTGGGTTTAGACACACAGATTCCAGCTAGATCAGGCATCTCCATCCTCTATGATAGCTCACTGGGAAATCCTGAGTCCAGACTGGTTTAGGCCTGTCATGTCCAGGCTGATTAGGCAGCAGGTTCTTGAAAAGGGTTTGGGGTCTTCAGCCTAGTTGGTCTGGTTTGGTCCAAGGATCTCAGGTACAAGTCCCAAAGGGATTAGGTGCCTCCTGGCCAAGGATTTCGATACCCTGAAGTACACAATTTGGGATCTTCAATGGCTAAAAGGCTCAGTCACCATCTGCCCAAATGGTTTTGGATCATCAGGCCAATGGATCTGGGAGTGTGAAGACCCTGGGCTGATGAGATTTGGGCACAGCAAGAGCAAGGGGACTAAGCACTCACAGTTCCTAGGATTTTGGAGCTCCTGGCCCAGGCAGTTGGGGATCTTGATATCCAAGGAGCTTAAATGTCTGTAGCCAAGGGGGACTAGGCACCTCCTGCCTGAGGCTCAGACCCTGCTATCAGGACAGCCCAGCCCTGCCAGAGGAAGGGCTCTGGCAGGGGCCATGCAGGCCCTGGAGTCGTGCCAGCCCCCACTGGGCAGAAATCCATATCCCTGGGGTGATAGCAGGGCTGTGTCCAGCAGTCCTGCCTCACCCTGCCCATACCAGCCTGCCTGCAGAGCTGCCCATTGCCATGCTTGGGCCCATTCCTCCCCGTGGATCAACCCCTTCCCACTTGCTGGACACCTCCAACTCCTTGAAATCAAACGTGGACAGACCCTGGTCCCACTCCACTTCCTCCATCCCATCCCTGCCATCACCACCCAGCTGCAGGCAGGCAGTCCCATCACCCGGGTGGTTATCTCCAGCACCAGCACCCAGCACCCTCACCTCAGACCCATGGTGGGGACCCAGGGCAGTGGAATAAACCCCTTTTTCTCCTCTGGGGAAGGCCGTGGTGATGTTCCCACTGCATGTTCCCTCTTCCCCTCAAACACAGGCAGAGTCTTTGCCTGGCCCCAGCAAACACACAACCCCCAAGGAGCCGGGGCAGGATCAGTAATTGAAATCCTGTACGGCCTCAGCAGACACACTGAGTCACCATCACTCAAACATGCAACAAACAGCTCAGCATTAGCATAAAACAAGACACACACAAGAAATTTCTGAGACTTCGAAATAAAAACCCAGACCAGCAACTCTTAAAAACGGGAACTCTCCATACCAAAGGTGTTCCTTTTTTCTTTCATTAACTGCCTTGTTTTAGCTATTTCCACACAGGAATCAATCAATTCTTTATAAAATGCAATAGAAATGGGTAAAAATAAAGGCAAATGCTATTTACAGAAACCAACAGGGAGAGTACCGAAACGCCTCTTAACTTCTTATTTCTTCTTGGGTGATTTCCGGGCGCTGGACTTGGCCTTGGGTTTCGACCGCTTTGCCTTCTTGGGCCTGGATGCCTTCAGTGACTTGGCTCTAACAGTCTTTGGCCTCTTGGCTTTCTTCGGGCTGGCCCTCGACTTCTTCCTGGCTCTTCTGGCGGCAGATTTGGGCTTCTTTGCTGGAGACTTGCTTCTCCTGCGCCGAGCCGCTTTCCGGGGCGACGTGGATTTCCTGGCCGCCTTCTTCCTCTTCCTAGATGGGGATCTCTTAGACTTGTTGCCCTTGGCCAGGCGGAAAGAGCCGGAGGCACCGACACCTTTGGTCTGCTTGAGGACGCCGGTGGCGAGGAGGCGCCGGATGGCGAGCCTGATC